TCCACTTTTATCCATTGGGTTTTTTTCACTTCATTCCAATTTTGGTTAGAAATTACTCTCATGTATTCCTCACGTGAGAATTTAGAACAACAGGCAGAGATTTAGACAGTTCTGTTCTCATTTGGTTAGATCAGGTCTATTTAAAGGTTTAACACAAACACTTTACTCATGCTAACCATAGCGTGACATTTCCAGCCTATGGGCTCACTAAGAATCAGAGCTGTTATTGTCTATTGGTTCAAGGGTTCAGCTTTCCAAATAGTTCCTTTAGTCTGCTTGCTATAGAGTCCTTATAAAATCATCGGGACTTAGACTTACAGAGAAGATATGCACATCTTTAAGTGTATAGGCTTCTCTAGTTCCATTCAATTCAATGAAATAGTAGTTTGGACATAAAATTCAGCATATCCCATGTATCTTGTCACACCCTGAGATATGTTGTATCGGATATATAGCGTATACTTGCAAAAAACCTGTATAAATGATTTTTATGATATATTCTGTTTGTGTTTCTAATGTTTATTTTGGCAATTGCATGAATCCATATTTAAAGAATAGACAATGGCAGCTTTGAAAACACTCTTATGAGAATAAATGTTATTTACTTTTTTTGTGACTAAGCTCACGCAATTCCAATGAAGTGCAAATGGTGCAAGGCCAACAGGACGGCACGCCATTATTCCTTTGAGGAATATATGTCCCTTAATAGTCAACATTTCACTTTTTATTTACTGTAAAACAGTTTTGCTCTTTTAATTTACAAACCTAAATTAAAACACCATACATTTGTGCTGCCAAATGTAAAGCTTAGCTCGTTTTCTGCTCTGCTAAAGGCAAACAAAAAATTACCTAACACTAATCAGGACCATAAAGTTATTATGGTTACTCACATAAATGAAATAAAAAGGCTACATTTCTTCCAAAAAGGAATTGATATTGCAGAGACAATACTGACAGTCCTATTCACTGTCAGTGCTGTGCACTTATATTACTAATTTACAGAAAGACTTAAAAACAAGCCTTATTTCCTCATGTCAAACCAAAACAACTCTTAGACAAGCCTGCAAGAGCTTAATAACCATACAAAGTCTGAATCAAGCACATGGCTAATTACTATTCGATACATGTACAGTGTAGCATGTTTCCAAATCCATTTTGATGTAATGGTGTCTTTTGAATAGCACTCTGCAGCAAACAAATATTTTCTGCTTTTTAACTCAACATAGTTCTGTTTATATTTTAGTTTATAGTAATTAGACCTTAAACTCAACTAGCCCAACTCAGATTGCCTTCTTTCTGTACCTTGTAAAAATAAATGTTTTCTTCGATATTTATGAACAAACTGTAATATGAATTGTATGCCACAATTAGTTTTTAAAACATTTTATATTTGACCTGGGATAAAAATATCCCATATGGGATGTTTCAAAATTAATGGCCGTCCACTTTGATTTCTGTATGAGCATAAATCTGGCCAAACTTCCCACAATGGATGATACAAAGATTTTTTTTTTCTTCATATAAATAAATATGGCAAGAAAAGCTTTACAGAAAACCCTCTCAGAATGAGTTTTTATTTTCCCTGAGATTCAGCACTCATAAATATTATGAAAAGGATTAACTACAATGTGCCATTCCGAATATGTTATTTTCCTATCAAGATTTTTACTGTAGTGGCATTGATATATTATCAACAGCAGATTATTTTTACAACATTTTATTTTTACGTCTTGAAACTGTGTATGTGTTATATGAAAGGTTAGAGCAGAAATATAGCCTGGTACAACATTTGATTTTAATTTGAAAATTACTCACATGACTTATGATAAGAGTAGGGAAAAGAACAGAGAAGGGAGACAGTACAGGTGAACAGTGGGAAAAAAACACCTTGAGTATTGCTGGCTTTTTCTCAGTGTTCCAGTTAAGTTTTAATTAAATTGTCCAACAATTATGTTGAAAAAGCCAGGGTTTTTTTCATGACAAAGAACATAGGAGGTGGGAATGTAGGGAAATAAAGGGAACTAATTACTGAGGGAAAGGCTGTAGAGATGACTCAACTAGCAATGAGTTCAAAAAGCCTTACAGCGTTTTGTATAGTTTTAATCACTCTGAGATGAATGTTTCTGTTTCAAAAAGTGTTTCATTAAAGCAGTTCCATTTTTACACAAAAGAATGGCATCTTTGTTTATTTACCTTTTATTGCCGTCTAAAGCCTCAGTACAAATGATCACCATAGTATGAAAGAAGCAAAAGAAACAGAAGCACAACCGTACCTCTGGCATGCTCAGCTGAAAACTCAATTCACAGAGATTTGGAGTTTCCCCCTGCTCCCCCCGACCCCAACCACTTTGCACTGGAGGGGAGGGAGAGAGCTCTAGGTTACCATTTGGAGAATAAGAAGGGAAAGAACGAACACAAGAGGAACTACCAAAAATTATTTTAAACTGTAAATACTAAATTCTGTAAAACTAAATGCAAATGAGGCCAACTATTAATAAACCGTGTTTAAAAACCAACAAAATTTAAATAGCATTATATGATTTCAATTCATCAACTAGAAACTCTGATATTCAGATCATTTTACAACCCATTCTAGAAATTTGATTAAAATGTTATCTTCTACCACGTTGCCTGATTGTTCTGCAAGCCACAAAGTTCCAAATAACTTCTTCAGAAGGAAAAAACAAACCAATGAGCTTCACCACAATCAGTTATTACAGCACCTCTAAACCATGTAGGGCAATGCAATACTGAAATGCATTAATTCTGTCTAGACTAACATTCATTATGTAGAAATGCGTAAAAAAAATTACTCAGCTGTGGAGAATATTAACATTGCAAAGTTCAAAGAAAAGACAAATAACTTATCAGTTCAGACATTAATGAGCAATGCAGAGGAATGAAGGGGGGGAAAAAACACTCAAATATTTGTTATACTCTTAAGCAAAATATGCCTTATAAACACATTATCTTGTTTGTGTCCTATTACTGAATTTGAATTCCATCAGTTGTTTAAGACAGCAGTTTGCAATTGAACTGGTAGATCTTCCACAGGGTCATACTACATAAAAATTAAAAGCTAACACATTCTTGTCCCAAAATTATAGGATATTTTCTTTGTTTCTATGTCCTGCATTAAAAAAGGCCTGCTTTTTTGATAAAATCATAGAATATCTCAAGTTGGAAGGGACCCATAAGGATCATTGAGTCCAACTCCCTGCTCCTCACAGGACTACCTAAAACTAAACTGTATACTAAGAG